TTTTTATGATCTCCAGTGTCAAGGACACTTAGCATATGAGAAGTAGGGTTTTGACCATATGTCCTGTTCAATCCCTGCCAGTTCTTGCCACTGCAGGTTTTCTCAGGAAAAAATATTCCTTACCCATGATCCAGCAATGTTGAGCCCTGTGCTGGATGTATTACAGTTTCGGTGACGCCAAGGAATTGTAGACAATACAGAACATTATTTTTTTTTATTACCTCCCATATCTTTTACATTTTTCTTTGAATTTTTGTGCTGCTTTCAAAGTCAGTACAGCAGTTAGCAAATGAGTTTGACCAAATTTAATATGCCTTTATGTTCTTTTATGGTTTTGACACAGATTATCCTTGGGTGTGTATTTTTAGTATTTACTCCCCACAACCTGGGGAGCAACTTCTTTTTTATCTTTCATGGAAGTATTGTCTTGACTTGGCTTGCTCTCCATCTGAATTTGTTGACATTTTGCCCTTTCACCTTACTGCTAGGATGGAACACCTTGAGACACTTCCATGGCCCATGTTAAGACAGTTCCACGGTACACTGCTGCTTTGACAAATGTCCATAAATGACCCCTACATGTCTTGTGCATGAAGACACTACAGGATTTTTGGTTTCATTATTGTCTGTCGTGCCAGACTTGTTAGAAATCTTTTCAACCTCAAGTTCTGGAGGGAGAAACTGTTTCAGAATCTTGATGGGAAATGAAACAGACTATGGAGAATGCGGGAATTAATTCCAAGATTATGCTGCGTAAGAACTCTGAGACAAGGCAAAATCATTTCAGTGCAGCCAGGCTGCCCATTTTTCTCTAGTCACATGGTTTGAATTTATTACTCATTCCATGATGAAGATTTTTATTCAGAGTAACTTTTCTGTCTCAGGAAACAAAAAATGATTGCACACTGTCAAAAAGAAGGAAGTATCTAGAAGATGTAACTCAGGACCTCTAGTGTGTCTCTCCAGAATTGCTTAACATGCTGCTGCCTTCTAAAAAGTAGCTACATTGGCAGCCCTTAGGTTTTCCAGTTCAAAACGTCTAATTCTTTCAGTCTGTTTTCTTTTAAGATTAAAGAAGAAACAAAGGAAAAAAAAATAGTACCAAAATAAAGGCAGGTATGGTCGAGCTTCCTGAATAAGACCCTGAACTACTGGATTTGGGGAAGAATACATGTAGGAAAATAGAGGAATAAAGTTACAGAAGGGGCCAGTCACAGGTAAACAGGTTGCTGATCAGTCTGCTTGCCTGGCTATGCCTTGTGCCTGCTTAGCTCAGTGTAAGTCTTATTAAATTCCATCTCGAAGTATTTCCCGGAGGGAGGGACTATCTGTTCTGTGCACAGGTGTTTAGTGTATGGAGGTCTAAGTGCTAGGAACTGACGTCAGACGACAGGTACCAGCAACTGGAGAGACCAGAGTGAGTGAACTTAAGTGCCAGAAACTGGAGTAGGGGCCACAGCTAAAAGCGGCCGTGTGTTTGTCATGCCAGCAGCTGGGGAAAGGATCATATGTGAGTGTGTGTGATCACTAGTGAACATGAAGCCAGACTAGCTGGTGAGTACATGACGTGACCTGGGTTTCAGGTGTGTGTATGTGTTTCTAATGGCAAGACCAGTGGGAGGTAGCAACCAGAGGGAGCATAGGAGTCCCAGACACCCACTGGGGAGGGGTGGAGTCCATTTGTGTGCACGTACCAGCAATTGGAGTGAGGCTACAGGACTTAGGGGCTGTGGCGACTGGGATCCAGGGGCAACTACGGGGCAGACTCAGTGTCTAAGCACAGCTATGGAAAGGATGCACATTGTATATATATACACATATATTTCCCACTATTGAACCCTCATCCATTTCAGCCAGAGAGGGACACAAGATGAGTCTACTGGTGCTATTTCTGCTTGTGTGAGTGGTGAGTGCATTTGATTGCCTTGATCTGTGTGGCTGGTTGTGTATATATGTGTTGTATATGTGAGTGTCTAGTAGGAGTACATTCTCAGCCTTGCTACTGGCTGGATCAGGGGGCATGGAGCTGTGGCAGCCTCCCCTCTGTCAGGCTACCAGATTCAGCCCAGCCTCAGGGATTCAGTGAGCCTCAGGGAAAGCAGTGAGATCTCCTTCTTAAAGGAAAAGGAGACTGTAGAAGAGATGTGACAATGAGGAAAGGGCTGAGGTACCCTGCCTACATGCAAGAGAAGCAAAGGAACAAGGAAAGGCTTCCTACTGAAGAGCTTTCAACAAAAGCTGGAAACAATAAGAACAGGCTTAGCAAAAGCTTGTGCTGGATTTGGAAGCTAATGCCATGAAACAGAGCATCAAGCAAAAATTGGCTTTCCAGTCTTAAATGATAAAGAAAAATAACCATTGCAACACAAGGAAAGCACTGGCAGCCCATTTTCAGAGCTACATATAGGCTTAGTACTTAAGGCCAGGATGAGGAATGTGTCCAGGTTAATGGTGACTGTGTGCAATTACCATCAGATGGCTCTTCAGTCTTGGTGGATTTAAGGAGTCTCAGGCAAGTTTCTTTCAGTAGCCTACACTGGTACAGAAAGTTTCTGTAGAGTCACCTGTTTGTGAGTAGAATCATAGAATAGTTTGGATTGAAAGGGACCTTTAAAGGTCATCTAGTCCAACCTCCCCTGCAATGAGCAGGGACATCTTCAACTTCATCTTCATCTTCAACTAGATCAGGTTGCTCAAAGCCTCATCCAACCTGACCTTGAATGTTTCCAGGGATGGGGCATCTACCACCTCTCTGGGCAGTCTGCTCCAGTGTTTCATCACTCTTATTGTAAAAATGAATGAAGATTATGGATTTGGAAACTGGAATCCTTTGCTGGATTCTTTCCAGTATGTCCATGTCTCTCTTGTACTGGGAACCCAGAATTCAACACAGGGCTCCATGCGTGGCCTCAGGAGAGCCCAGTAGAGGGGAAGGGTCACCTCCCTTGACCTGCTGGCAACATTGCTCCTAATGCAGCCCAGGATACCATTGGCCGCCTTTGCAGCAAGGGCACATTGCTGGCTCCTGTTCAACTTGGTGTTGACCAGGACCCCCCAGGATACTTTCTGCAATGCTGCTTTCCAGGTGGTCAGCCCCCAGCATGTGCTGGTTCATGGAATTATTCCTCTTGAGGTGCAGGACTCTGCACTTCCCATTGTTGAACTGCATGAGGTTCCTGTCAGCCCATTTCTCTAACCTGTCGAGGCCCTCTGGATGGCAACACAACCTGCTGGTGTATCAGCCTCTCCTCCCAGTTTTGTATCATTAGCAAACTTGCTGAGGGTGCACTCTGCCCCATCATCCACGTCATTAGTGAAGATATTGAACAGTATTGGACCTGATATTGACCCCTGGGGTATCCCACTAGGTGCTGGCCTCGGCCTAGACTTCATGTCACTGGTCACGACCCTCTGGGCTCAGTTGTTCAGGCATTTTTCAATTAACCTCACTGTCTGGTCATCCAGCCCATACTTCATCAGGTTATCTATGAGGATATTATGGGAGAAAGTGCTGAAAGCCTATACCATGTTCTCCATGAGGATATTATTGTTCAACATGTATATCAATGACCTGGATGAGGGGACAGGAACCTCATGCAGTTCAACAAAGGCAAGGTTAGTGTCCTGCACCTGGGCAGGAAGAACCCCATGTACCAGTAGATGTTAGGGGCTGACCTGCTGGAAAGGACCTGGGAGTCCTGGTGGACAACAAGTTGACCATGAGCCAATCACTGCAGGCAGGGAGTGGGGTTCGCACTTTGTGTACACTGACACACTCGCTGTGTGTCAGAGGCCCAACAGAGCCTCTGCACATCTGTGCCATGCTGTGGGACCAGCAATGCACGGCAGTGGAAGGGCAGCCCATGCAAGAGGGCAAGTGATCTGCCTGCTCAAGGCTGTCATGGGCTTTGCAGTCAAGAGGTATCCCTGTGTCCTTTTAGCAGAAGGCTGCAGCAACACCTGCAGCTCCCAGACCCTCTGTTGCAGGTCCAAACATACCTCACAGCCTTCCTTTCCACTACCTACAGGAGGTTCAGGAATGACCCCCGATTCCTCAGAAGAAAAGGGAGACACGAACAAAGAAGGTGGGCTAAATTGTGCAGGCAACAGAAACAAATGCCACACTCCCACACCCCACAACACCCCCAGCACTCCAGCTGAGAGGAAGCTATGCTTGATGTGTCCATGGGAGGGGTCTCCATTTTGCATGGGGTTCCCTGAGGTGTGCAGGTGGCAGGGCAGTGCATTGAAAGCCCTGCAGAGCACACGGTGTTCCAGGAGTTAGTTACTGATGTTGACCAGGTCATGCCTGCAGTGCTGGGCCTTGTGCTTAGGGCTTGAGAAGCCCCTGTGGTGGCATGAGAAGCTGCAGTGTGGCAACCTGCTGGAGTGCCCCATGCTGGCCTCTGCCACACGCTGGTGTGTGTTAGGAGAGAGATAACACTCTAACCTATCAGGAACTTACTCCTGGGCCACAGGATAACCTCAGACTGATCGTTGTAACAGAGGAGCATGTGGGCAGCTCCTGCTCGGTACCAGCTATCACACCACGTGCCTGGCCTCGCTTTTATCTGAAGGTGCACCGAGAACTTCTTATGCTAGCATACTTTCTCTTTGACAGCGAGAATGATGAGCAGGATTGCCTGGTGTTAAATGAGAGGAGGTCTTCAGAGTACAGATTGAAGAGAGACAGAAAGAAAGATGTGGGGAGAGAAAGGGAGGCAGAGAGGGGAAGAAGCGTTGATGGAAGTGAATATAATGTAAATGAGAGTTAAAAGAAGAGGCAGGTAAGGAGGAGTGGGGTGACAGGTAGAGAAAGCAGCACAAATAAACTCACAGAATCTGAGAAGAGGATGAAGTGAAAGCTAGGAAGGAGAGGAGGTGATGAGTGGGAAGGGATCATCCTGCCTTGTGCAGCACTGATGAGAAGGAAAGCAGGTCCCTTTTGTGCTGGAGAAGGTTTGCGCTCAGCTCCCTCAGCAGCCAAGCCACTGTGTAATCATTCTCAGCGCAGTAATACGTCCCAGAGTCATTGAGAAAGGCACGCTCTATCGAGAGGGTCATCCCATCTCCTTTTATCTCGCTGCCTTTGAAATGGCTTCGGAAACCCTCCTCCACATCTGCTTTACCTCCTTCAAACACAGAAACCACTAGGATGAGCTTGGAGTCCTTCCCCAAAGGCAGCTTGTACCAGAACAAAGCTGTGCTGGAGGATTTCTTCTTGGAACAGCTCAGATCCATGGACTGGCCTTGTCGTATCACTGTGTCTGGGGACTGTTCCAGAGCCAACACTGGAAGGGAAAAGGAGGAGCATTGAAGAGGAGAAAAAATGGACAAATGTTAACTAGGCACTGTGGGTTGGTAGAGAAGAGGGCGAGAAGGAACAGGACGGCCTAGGGAGCAGTGGAAGGGATGGGACAGCCCTTCAGATCCGCAGGTGAGTTTCCAGTCTCTCTCCAACAGGCAAGAAAAAATAGGCAACCCTTGCAGGAGATTCAGGGACTCCTGACCACATCGTTCATTGCCCATCCTCAGCACAGGAAGCTTTGGGGTAGGGAGCGCTGCCAGCAAGTGGGTACGCAGCTGGGACAGCAGCAGTGGAATCGATGTAGGTGCTCAGGGGTGAGTTGAGTTCACTTACCCACAGGGGCCAGCATGGCCACAAAGAACCAGCAGGGAACCATGGGGAAAAGCCCCTGTCCTCTCAGGGACCTGCCTTTTGTAGCTGCCCAGAGACATGTGAAGAGGAAGCACTGAGTGAGGAGGAGACCTGTTAGACATACTGGGGTTGGGCAGGACATGAAATGTGAGAAAGGATTGGCTGGCTGGGAACACTGGGGAATGACGCACACAGTCACAGGAAACCATAAACCCCGCAGAGATGGGAGATGGGGAGAGGGGGTTGGTGCACGGGGAGGGGAGAAGGGGGTTGCATGGACAGAACTATGCTGAGGTTGCATGGGAGTCTGAGTGTGTGCAAGGCAGAGAAATGCTGAGAGTTCCCCTGCTCCTTCTGAAGTCCTTGAGAGCTGTAGGAATGAGATATGAAGGACACTCATAGGTCCTTTGCATTTTCCCATGCATTTTCCCTCCCTCCCCCAGCCGCGGATGGTTGTTTTTTTAATGTTTGGGTTTTTTTTTTCCCCTGGCTGTGCGAGGGCGCTTTTCTCTGTGCAGTACTGTGAGCATGAGGGAGAAGAGGTGCTGAGGACTGGGGCTAGGGTGGCCTATCCCTCCACCTTCCTTGCTGACAGGGAGTAGCTCAAGTTTCTTCAGAGATGATTTCTCCTTTGGACCCAGGACCCAACTGGGGAGTCTTGGGTGTCTCAGCCTGGTGCTGCCACTGGGGCAAGCAGCTCTTCTGCAGGAGGACACTTTGTCTGGCAAATTCAAGGAGTGCTCATTGACTGAGACCATCTCTGCCATTGCCCCCTCTGCTCTGTGAATCAAACTGTCCAAAGTATTTTCCTTTTCTGGCAGGACTGAGCTTGTCCTCCAGAGGGGTCGGGGGTGCTGCCGCTGGGATGCAGCCAGTGAGACCACTACAGTCTTGAAAGCAGCTGTCCAGTGCAATTTCATTCAGTCGTGCACTAGAAGTGATACCTCTCTACTGCTCTGCCCACAGGTTCACCAACAATCAGGCCGCTGGCATCCTCTCCACAGTGCCCTCATCTGTTTCTGTTCAGAAGGACAGCCACATGGCCTCTCCCGAAGGGGGCAAACTCAGCATTGGCAGGGGAACCCCAGAAGCACAGGGATGAACAGCTGGGAGAGTGGCAATTGTGAAAGGAACACAGGCAACAAATGATCTTCAAATGGTCTTCACCATGCTGAGCCCTGCTGGCAGCACCTTTCTCTCCTCACAG